TTGGAGGGATGATGGATGTGCTGACAGTCTCAAAAACACGATATGCGTGCTTCCGAATTCCAGCCGTTTTTGAAGAACTGTACGCAAAGCCAATCTAAGCATGACTACTAGTAAAAAGAATTTTTGGATGTTTTGATTAATACGAAGATTCAAAAGTTATGAAAAAATGGCTACCTATTCAAGCAAAAGAAAGTTCTGAACTTTGAAAAGTTGTATGCCTGCACTGGCGTAACAGCGAAGCAACGTAATAAGAAGAAAAAGAAGGAAAGAAGATGACTAAATGTAGACAGTAAGGATAGTCGGAAAGTACGACAGATAAACATAGCTTCCAGTAAGAGTTCTGCAAAATCAGAATGAAGGAGAAAAAAGAGCGTATACCTTCAAAAGCTTCTTTCCATCGAGCTTGACTCGAGTGCGTTTGCCAACAACCTCAGCTGGAAACACCATCTCGTCGAGCCATGCCTCATGAACAGCAGTAAGAGTACGAGAGCGTGGCCTCTTCTGCTTCATTGGGACTTTCTTTGAACCTCGCAGGGGCTTTGGCAGGATTCGACGCTGAAACAGGTATAGCACTTTGCAAGTTTGCAATGTTTGGTGGTCAACCATCAAGTGTACGATGATTTGGTAATGCATTAGTGATACTGGCACAAAAATGCGACCATAATCAGCAACTAGTCTACGCGGTTTATCGGCCCACATAGCACATCTGAGAGCTTAATGGTTCCTATCCGCGTATGGCTACCAAAAAAAAACAACTATAAACAACCGAAGAAATTCATGTTTTGCTTGTCGACACACTTTTAATACTGTAGTGGTTCCATACTAGATAATTCGTCACGTAAACAACTCGAGAATCAGCATCTTTTTGAGTGTCAGAATTGAGCAGCTGCACTAGTTTAGTTTTCTTATACATGAAGTCATCAAGTCAACATTGCAGAGTGATATTCAAGTGATACTCCAACAACAGATCCTCGTGCGAACTTCATTTCAAAGAAAACTAGACTAGGCAATGAATAGAATGTATTCTGACCATGAAGAGTACAATGACCTTACCAACCAGCCACATTAAAGTAGGTCATAAAATTTTCAGCATTAAGAATTTAAGAGGAAAAAATTGTTTTCGGAAGTCAACAATTTTGTACGAAAATATCAAACCGCCAGTATATAAAGACATATCTAAAACAAAGAATATGGTAATAAACTGCAGACTTGGATATTAAACTCAGCTTATACTGAGAGCAAAAAGGAGACTTGAGAGATAGCAGAAACAAAATACTTCTCAAAAAATAAAACTTATATAGGCATAGCCGCCTACGAGTCTTCTACGAACAATACGAAATGTTGTAGCAAAATCAAATCACACGAAAAAGGAGAAAGCCGCTTACCTTGGCCAAGAAAAGAACGTGCTTTCCTCCAAACTTCTTCTCCAACTCACGAACAAGTCGCACTTGAACCTTGTGGAATTGTTTCAGTTGTGGAACGGGCACATATACGACAATGACAGACTTGTTTCCGATTTCGATTTCCTAAATAACAATAAGGAGAAATCGTCATTGTATGGAAT